TAATATTTTAGACACTTTCAACAATTGGTTGCCTATTAATGAGTTGCTCACAAAATCCAAGGCTATTATCCAATATTTATATTTGTACAAACATATGGAGAAGGAATAATTGAAGCAGAAAGATTAGAATGCAAACATAGGTACTTGTTTTCCAAAGTTGATCATACAAGAATATTATTTTCTTGTTTTTCTTTTTGATTTAGTAGATTATAATTAAACATGGATAAATGATGAGTATAAACATCTTATTATAAATAGAAATGTAAATAGATTATTATGGGTAGTAATTATTATTATTATTATTATTATTCATGACTATGATATAATTAATAATACAGAAACATAATAGATTTATGTAAACATTAAAATTAAAAATTTCAATAATTAACTTAAGATTGTATACAGAAATATATTAAATTTTATAATAAAAACCAAAATTGATTCTCTATTAGATAAAAAAGACATTTTACACTTCTTACATACATGATTCCAGCCATGAGTCATTGGTATATATTTTTATTACCTTGCATATATCATTTTATGTAATACCATATACCTATGTGTTAATAAAAGACTTATGTAAGAGAAGTACAACAAAATATTATATAAAAATAAAAAGAAGTACACTTATTTATGTGATGCAATGATTGTATCTTATTATTATTGGATACCAAAAGTGGTGCTTGCTAATTCTTTTTAAACTTAAGTGAACAACTTGTACCAATATTATTATAACTCATAGTTTTTTTTAAGTCAATTTACAAACAAATTAGTTTTACAAGGTGCATTCATTGTCTTGGCTCCTTTTTTTTATACATTAATTAGTAATTGTATTCACTATTTGAGTTGAGGAATGAAATGATTAAAACCATCAACTTTCTAAAATTTGATTACAATTAAATGCAAAAGTAAGTTGGATTCAAATTGTTTGTTTACTCAAAAAATTGTATGGTTTGAATGTAGAGTCAAAAGGAAATTAGTGCTCATTTGATTAATATGTGACAAAGAGATTGTTGTTAATACTTAGAAAGTCCACATAAGTAATAATATACCTTCTTAATGCCTTCTTTGGTTTTTTGTGATTCCAATAACATTCTTACATAGATTTTAGAAATATGATCAAAAACATAAAAATTTGGTACTAAGTTTATTCTATATTTACCAAGATGGTGACTAATTCAAGATAATGGCCATGCTTTGGGAACAAGCAATATATGTAAACATTTTATTTTTATTTATTTATTATTTACTTATTTTATCATCTAATGCTTTAAAAGATTCAATGTCATATAATTTCTTTTTAATAATGTTTTTTGCTAAAATTCTAGTAAACACAAAAAAATGTACTAATGTTTAAAGATAAACCATGGAGAAACACTTTAACTCACAAATTGATATAGATTGGCCTTACTTAATATATGAAAAAACAAGTAAAAAATAACATCAATCAGTATTTTTCTTTTAAAAGCACAGTTGTTTTTAGACAGTGAAATAGATTATGGATAGACAAAACAATTGTATTTTTTTACTGATGATACGTTGACATTACACCAACACAATAGAGTTTATCATAGGATATTGATTGATCACATGCCAAATAAGACTCTTTATGTAGATAGAGTGGTATCAAGGCTATGGACGTACACTTCTCGGTCACTTTTTTAACAGTTGCATTGGGTCCCCCATTTGTGACAAATAAGAAATAATCAATCACACAAACAGAAATTCCTCGCTCTTGGAAACAATGAATGGCTAATTAGCAAAAACAGGATCGGACGAAGCTGGAACACAAAATTAGGGTTTCACCAGTGTCGCCGCAATGCTTTGCAAGAATTGGCATTGCCATGAGATGCAAATTATCCCAAGAATTTGTGTGGGCTTTGCCAAATTGGGTTTGGTGCCCACAAGATAGATGAGCAGCAATCCACGCAGACATGCAGAGTCAGACTCAGACTCAGAGACGGAGTGGGGGCGAGCGCTGATCAGTGGACTGATCTTCTAATGTTGCTAGGGATAGTGAATCTGATGCGACAGTGAGAGGATCGACAGCTTCAGCTTGTGTTTGGAAGCCTTGTGCGTGCTCAGGCACGCTCAATGCACAGCAATGTTATGGATAGGGCATGTCTTGATTGCTTCCTTCCTACAGGAAACGAGGGCCAGTTTTCGGGAGGCTCAGGGGTTGTAGTAAGTCAGGCACAGAAGCTGAAGTGTGGTGTCGGTTCTTGTCTGATGCGTTTTCGATTTGCGCCTCATGTTGTTAATCCCTTTTATTTTATTATATTCTATCATATATATATATATATATATATATATATATATAAATATATACCATGTCTGCCTTTTTCTCTTGTTTTTGAGTAATTTTTCCTAGTTGGGTGCAAGTGCATTCAGTGGCTTACTGTCCAGGCTTCTGTGCGGCCACTTGGGTACTGTAGTAGGAACTGAGCTTTGAAGATCTTTGACCTTACCGTGTGAAGTACCTTAACTGTTTACGTGTGGCACTGTAGTCTGCGGTCTCTTTCAAAGTTCCTGAACTCCTTCAAAGCGAGGTTCATGTGTAGAACACACGCAAGGCTGTGTTTATCTCAAAAATCAGTTTGTTGATAGAATCTCGTGTGGTGTTTATGTATACAATAACTACTTCCATATTTAACTGAACGGATCAATACATCACCCAACGTGGAGGAGTTTCTCAAAAATCTCTCTGGTGTTTCTGATGCGTTGTAGATTGTGTTTGCTTTGTTTTCATTCTCTGTTCTTGTGCACACACACCATACAGGTGCATATGCCTCAAGGCAGGAAGCAAATTCACCAAAATTAGGTTAAGACAAGTTATGTTAAGACATGAATGTTGGAGTGTTGGGTCAAGGTCAAAGGTTCAACCAAAACGCCCGAACTCCATTTATGCACAAGGCATTCATGAATGCATTATGTCACTGATATGGATTAAGTTTAGACATGGATTAGAAAAGAAAAAGGAAAAAGAATAAAACGGATCAGTTCCTGACAAGTTAAGGCCATTAATGCCAGAAGAGACGAATCCTTCTGAGATGCGACGGATTTTCTAAAATGTGAGTACCACTCACTAGGGTGGTTAAAATCTTTGTCCCTTGATGGTGCTGCTTGTATGCACTCCAGGTGCAAGGCAAACGGTACTGACAGAATAATGTCAATTGTACCCAGTTCAACTGTATTTAGGGAACTATCCTTCCGCCTTTTACTGAGGAGTACTGAGCACCTGGTTTATGAAGGGGCAAAACAGCAGGCAGTGGATCGCCCTTCAACGGAAGGGCCTCTTTTACGCTAATTTGAACTCAGACCACAGTGTGCTCTTAGTGACAGCCTCAGCGATCGTCATGTTTCATCTTAAGAACATAGCGAAGTAAGTTTCGTAGCCCAGCTCGAAATCTGCACCGAAATTTGCAAGGTTCATTCTCCATTGGAGAGGTACCGCGAGCGCGACTTCTAACGTGGCGACATCATATCCTGAGGAGCCACTCAATGATCGCACCCGAAATTTGCCCAAATCGCACAACAACCTACGCTCCGTTAGCAGGCTTGCAGTCCTTGGCGATCTCAACAACCCAGAAACAAAATTATACATCATGAACTAGTTGATGGACGTCGTTAGCAGGCTCAGGTGCTCCCAACTTTGCATCAAATTGTGAACCTCCTTTTCTTAGAAGAACAACATAGCGATGATCGGTGTTTATATTTCGAAGCCTCAAAATCATATGAGAGGAGCTTACATGGATTTAGACGACATTGAATCTGTCGAATTTTGCAAGTCGAGCCTTAAACTCTGATTCTCTGGTCGCCACTGTATGCTGCAGCATTAATGGAAATTATTCATCGTCGAACATTTCCACAGCTATTCTTTCTCCACGATCTGGCGAGCCGCAATTGCGCAAGCCAGAGTATCTGCTCACGGAACGACTGCTTCGATTCGTACTATCTCCAGAGCCGTTGTGTTATACGATCCCGTCTGAAGCAGCTGTTACTTCGAAGCATAATTTAATAAAACTAGCGGAATTTAATATCTTTACCAGAAGAATTCAGTCGATATCCACACATGAAACGGAGGCACAAGGTAGAGGACGAAGTTTTAGAAAGATAGGGTTACAGATATGGCTTGAAGAAGAGGTTTGGCGCTTCAAATATATCAGTCTTATTTGAAGGATCTGCCTCGAAAACCCTAACGCTATGAACCATCCACCCTCCGCATGACGTTCAGTGCCCGAACTTTTCAGTGTTAACAGAAGTGAGGTGTATGGTGAGAAAAAGGTTAGTTGTGCGTAAGACATCCTGATTCTTCTATAAGAACATGAATAGGAACATATGTATTCATCTATAAGCACAACCATATCGTTCATATGAACGATCCGCTCTAGTTCCGCCATCTATAAGCACAACCTCGTTAGACTCACAACGGCTCCAAAGTTAAAGATTCTTGCTGGCCAATGCTGAATTGGAAAACAAAGACCTGACAGATAGTTTGCGAAGTCGAGAGCGCAGACTTGTAACAACCCGCTGTGAAGTAAGAGATTTGCACTTATTGCTGAAGTTTACAAGGGGTCGAGACCAAAGACCAGAATTGAACAAGATCTGTCCCCATCTCGAACGCAACCGCGCAAGGACATCGACATGGACTGTAGCATGAAAGAGCTAAATGATCATGGTTTTAGCTCCACAACTTCGCTTGCTGTGAACTCCATCGGGTTTGTGACCCCACTTGAACGGATCGTTCAATGTCTGCAGTAGTGGCAGGGGCATTGAAGGCGCCACATCCAGTCTACTTTTATTCTAAAGCTTTTTCCGTCATGCACCCAAAAATGCCAGTGCATCATTTAGAAACCAGAACGCGGTTCCTCACTTGTCTATTCACTCTACCACATACAATAGAGGATCCATTCTTCCACAGCCTGACCAGTGTTGAAGCAGCTCTCACTTAGAAAGAACTTCTCATTCAGATCTTGGATGCAGGGTGATTGTCATTTGAGCGTAACGCTGATCTTCCGCCTGTATCCCAACTACCAACAAATGGTAATCATTCCAGAATCACGTAAAAAATGATGCTCACTGCAACTGTATCGAAAAAACAAATGCATTTGTAAGAACGCTTGATAGCTGTAGTCCTTCACCTTTTCAGGTATGGGTACGAGGCGTGAAGGCTGCTTAATCAGCAATTGTTCAGGGCACCCAATGTTTCTGAAAGATCGCAGCGTGTTTTCTGCGGAAGAAGTGACACTAGTGCGGATTCTCTGTGGACATAGTAAATCACGCGTGAGTTTCCACTCGGATCGTTTGTTTCAGAAGGTTGACGTAAATGCTCCTCTTCCATATATAGGCATTAGAATCTTTGACCTAAACTACTTTCACATCTTTTCGTGAACCCTTGAATCTTTGAGATGGGGTGGGGATATTATCGTATCTGCTAACTCCGCTTGAAATGCGCCTGGCGTTAATCCTTCACTTCATCAGATTCCAAGTCGATTCGTAAAAAGTTTCCCTAAATAGGCCGTAATTAGAGCAATTATCGTTAGTGACAGCACATTTCTCGGTCGGGATTCCAAGGCCAAGTTACCTGGAGTGACAGTGGAGGTGGCACGCGTAGAAGAAGCACAAGTGTCGGAGTTACGAGGCAGATTAAACATGGCCTGGATTCCGTGGTGCCTTCGCTTTGTCTTATCCGTGTTTATCTCCAACCTTAACTCCTCTTGTTTGCCAGGACACTCGCTTGCGTCGTGTTTCTGTGGAAGCAGGCTGCAATTTTCTCTTGCTTGTCACTCAGCCAGAGCTCTATCTGCGCATACGCGGTACTGGGTATATTTTTCTCTTTGCCGTGCTCGTTCTTTCTGCCCTCCTGATTGCTTTGCTTCAAATTTGGTTTCCTCAAGTGCACAATTTGTTTTGCAATTGGAAGTTTGCCAATGCAAAGCACTGGTTGGTTTTTCAGTGGAATATAGGAGGGACGTGTGGACAGGGTAATGTTGGCAGGCATCACTAGATGACTCATTCATCAGCATAAGGGATAATAAAGCTCTTATGTAGTAGGTTTCAGGCGCAATCGATGCTTTGATACTGCTGTCGGAATAAACTTATATTGTAGTCCTCAAGTGTCCGTTTCGTCCCTCAGCGTGGTAATGTGGTGCATGATTTACTGTCATCCAGTTAGTGAATCAGTTCCAGTTGACTTAAGCTGAGCTGGTACTCATGGGATTACGAGCAATGACGATACATGTGTTTCAGAACATTAATCTTGACATGTGATGCAACATTGAGGTCGAAAGGGAGCATGTAGATAAGGCAGCTAGTTGTAGGATTCTGTGGCTTACTACAGTTGCGGTTATAACTCATCGGCATTGTCATCTACTGCATCTAATCTCTCTCTCCCTTCTTAAGTACATGATACAGTGAATCTTAAACACAGTAAGATAAATCCAGCGAACACATGATGGTCTCTCATTCGCCATATTGACACGTTACTGGTTCTAAAGCTTTTAAGTAAGCTCAATTTGACTCGGAAGGTCAGTGTCTACGAAATACATATAAAAATACTTTTGGATTTGTAATTACATTTTTGGCGAATCTTTCTACTCTAGTTACGGAAATCCGTATCTAGAGCAGAAATACAAGGTCCACCTTCTGCTGCAGACATACCATGAATTTCACTGATGGTCAGTCTGACTCAATAGTGGCAGCACATTCTGATGGTGAAGATTTTTTTACACAACTTGGAGAGATGAAATGTAATATTTGAAATCTATTCTAAATGGAGCACGAACAGCTAAGCTAGGAAGTTTGCCTTGGTTGAAATCTTGTCCCACCAGATTCTAATTCGTCTAAAACAGAGACTTCCGAGTGTATTGTCTAGGTAGAACGAGCTATCCGAGAATTTGTCGTGTTAATTTTATGGATGTAAGCCGAAATACGCACTCATTGGTTCTTAGGGCTTCAGTTAGCTGGACCAAGTTCTTATTTTGCATTGGTGTTAAGTACTGGTACGTCCTTGTTAGTCATCTCGCCTGCAGAACAAGTAAGAAGGAAGCCAATCTATCAAATTAATTAATCTATCAGATTAGTTCTAGTAAATTAAAATATTAAGGTTTGTGTATTGGAATTCTGTAGTGGCAAGGAATTTAAGTGCAGAACAGTGTTGTCATATGAAAAAAATCACGGATAAAGCACTCAAGAATCGAAGTCCCTGTTTTTTTGAGTACTCTTTCTTTATTCCATATTTTCAGTTTGTGTCCAAAAAGGTGATACATTGCCGTTGTTGCATGTGACTATGGTTGGTTGGATATGTATGAACGGGCTCCAGGGCAAGTCACAAGTCTTAGAACAGAAATGTAGCTAGACTAAGAAAACAATGGGTGGAGACCTGAGAAGGAATGCTAGCAATTGCTCTAGGGCTGTACCGAGAGTTCGAGGACATTCTTTTGCAACACATATATACAGGAGAGGCAATCTTCTTCTTTTGACCACATTGTTTGCGGATTATTACGTTTATGTTGCTCCTCCTACCTCTTTTTAGCGAGGACTTACGGTTTTTCTGAAGAGATAATGTAAACTTTAGGGGTACATGTAACTGCTTTGGGCATACGCAATCAATTTTGTGGATCGAGAATGTGTTACTACTTCTAACTGATTAGATGTCAGGTGAACAATCATTTATCACCGTAGATGACATTTATTATTGAATATTGTCTTTAATATTTCAAGAGTCCTCACACGGTTAAGGGTAGAGAGTGTTGTCGAGCTTTGAAGGTGTTTCACCCAGAAGATTCAAAAAGTTACCGCTTGATCAGATGTTCTAGATCAACAGTGTTAAGTGGTATTTCACAAATGTTAATTGGGTTTGAGCTTCCCTCTGATTGTAGTACATTAAAGCTTTCCAGGCTACTGATGCTTCTAACAAATTGTTTGATTTAAACTTTCAATATTTTTGTTTGCAGCAGCTGGTTCTTCAAGCAGATGGCAATTAATCTTACCTTTTGTCACCGGAGAGAAATTAAAGTGTACTTGTAAGGCCAGCACATTCTTATTGATATAGTATCTGCAGCTGCAAATCGGACTACGGGATTTAAGAAGATTTACGTCTTTGATGAGAGAGGTTCGTGTAGTTTCAACTCCTAACATTATCCACTTTGTAATGAATCAACTAAAAGCTGCAGCATGAAGTTAATATATGCGCTGAAATGTGACATGTTTCGGGCTAACGTCGTTCAATGGCTGTTTGAGGTCATGCATCTGCAGGCAGTTGCCATTACCAGTTCTGAGCTGGATGAAAACATAGTTGAATCGAAGCAAATGGTCCAACATCTGAAGAAACCAATAATAATCAAATTTAAATACTGAATGTTTACAAAAAAATAAAAATAAAAAGATTCTTTTAAAAACAAAATTATATCAATTTTTCTAAAATAATTATAATAATTTAACAAACTAAACTATCTACTACTAATATCACATTATAAATCAATAAATTACTCTTCCCTCTTTAGGATTGATACAAAAGAAATTACTCCAATTAAAATAATAAAAGAGTAAAAATTCTACAATTGATCTTTGGATCCCAACTCACTCCTTTTTTTGATTATTGCAATAACATATCCTTACAAGTAAATACTTTGACTCACTCAAAAACTTGCTTTCGAATCCTCCATGTTTGTTCGAATATTTAACCCAAGTCAGCAAATCAATGCAACACCTAACTGATACATTAAATATCATCTCCCACCACAGAGGTTGAATTTGCCACATGAGTCATCTTCATTAGCAGTTTGCATGCTGGTAATAATACTATCTCTTGTCAATCTGAAAGATTGCATAGTGAGGCACAGCTTGCATTCAATGGACTGATTAAAACATAGCTCTATGTTAAATGGATGCACATCAACATAGAGCTATCTGTTGATCCATTGGATCAAAGTTTAAAATACAATGAGATGTGCTGTAAAAGGTAGGAGAGCTGTGTCAAAATCCAATGCGAGCAAACACATGCACCTGAATTTGTATAACAGTGACATTCACTGATCCATGGAAGTCGATGACACCCAATGACAGTAACATCCACCTCATTCATATGTGATGACATACATTTTTTTTTTTTTTAATGAAAAAAGGAAACGAAAAAACAAACGAAGAAGAAGGATAATGCAATGCATGCATGAAGCTTTACAGCGTCGCTGTGCTAGCAGTGACAGCTTTTTATTGATCACCATGTTAAGCAAAATGCAGCGCAGCAACATCGCAGCAAGTCGATGCCCAAAGTAGAGAGATGCAAGAAAGATCGCGGTCGATGAATTGAACCCATGACTTGGGAACAAGTTGATGAACCAACATCAGTCCACAAGCTTGGATGCAATCCACCGAGGGTCCAGAAAAAACCCAACGACCTGCAGCGACGAAATGAGCTCGGAAACAGGCGTGAACTACAATCGCACTGCAAGGCACGACTGCACGAGGTGCTTTAGATTTGCAATGCATCTAGGTGTTGCCGAACTTGGCCTTGAACTGAGCCTTGAGAGCGACTTGACTGTCTTCTCATTGATCCCGAACCCCTTGTCGAGCACGACGTTGCCAATGTCGGAGCTGCCGAACAAGTCATTCGAAGACCAGGATTCTCGCTGTTGAACGAGGCGATTACCTCTGCCTGGCCCTTGCCAACGTTCAAGGAGAAGTGAAGAAGTCCGTGGGGGAGGATTGCGGCATGGCACTCTTCCAGAACTCCATCGTAAAGTCTATTGTCAGTCGCCACAAATCCGATGTGTATGGACCCCTTGACGACGTAAATCATCTCCGTCGAGCGCGGTGTGTGTGCAGGTTGATCAGTCCTCCCTCGTCGTAGATGATCCGTGCCATGGCTAGGCCCATGGTGTGAAGAGCGGGCCACTGTCCAACCGTGCCAAACGAGACCGAAACTCCCAATGGGTCCTTCTTCGGATTCCCTGTCTCGGCCAATCCCTGGAATAAGAAATTGGCGTTTGTCACAGTGGCAGGGTCCTGGCATGGCGAGTATGGTGATCCGACGCAGTAGTCCAGCAGAGGATCTGGGTCCGCGGCCATGACTGTAGGCACCAAAGCAATGACCACGACAACGGCGAGCTGGATCAGATGGCTAGACTTGATCTACGCCATGGTTGCCATCACTTGCAAAGCGAGAGCGTGCTGATAAGATCAGCGATGGAGTGAGACGATGATGATGATCAGGTGAAGGTCGAGAAGCAAACGAATTGCTGGCATTGAAGTGAGAGAGGTTGCAAGACCCCTTTTTAAGTGGAGTTGGGTAGCGTTGCTATGGCTCAATGCCATGCTAAGCGTGATGGAATCCCATCTCATCACTTCACAATGCATTCATTCTGCCATTTTCTTCTCCATTAGAATCCGAATTCGACGTCCGCTACTTCGCAGGAGGCGCGCTATCATCGCGTCGAGCTCCACGAGCTCGCTCATCATCGAATGATTCCGACACATCGATCCCGCATGTCGCAAAAAGCCTGGCCTGCATAACCACCTTCTCTTTTATTTATTTGTTTGTTTATTTGTTTTCTAAGCGTCGCCTTCCCATGTGTGTTTTTCTTCTCTTTTCAACTTTTTTAGCGTTGCTTCTTGAATATTGTGGAGTAATCCAAAACAATATTGATTTGAATCTACATATGTCGTGGCATCTTTCAATAAAAAAAAATAATATTAAAAAGTTGAAAGTTTAACTTTGCCACTTCTCAACGTGGCTTAAAGGAATATTTATTTTTTTGTGTTTTTATTTTTTACAGATTGCTCATTTAAAATCAAATGTGTCTGGTATTCATAGCATTAATGATGTTTATTAAATATATATTTTTAATCTTAGTAAATAAGTAAAAAGATGATAAATTATAAATTATTATAGAAAACGTAGAAATTTTATGAAATATTTTACAAATAATTTAATTAAAAAATATATTAAATTTTCTTAATAAAAAATAATTCTTTGTTCATGTAGGTTTGAATAAATTTAGAGATTTCAGATTACCTTCTTCTATTTATTTATAAATTTTATTTATTTTTTATCTTTTCTTTTATTTATTTATTTATTTTTTATAGTATTGTGAATCATAGAAAAATTGGTAGAAATAAAGAATGTTATAAAAAAATACAAGAATATATATATATATATATATATATATATATAAGTTTATTTTTACTATGCATCAACTTTATAAACAACTTCAATTAAATTTGAAAGTAACTAATAAAAAAGATACAAAAATGTCAAGTATTCCTTCAACAATTGTACAACTACAAGTAGTCTATGCAAACAATTGCACCAATTAAAGAACTCAGAATTGCTCTTCTAAAGCTACTTCTAGTTTAGAGATTTAGTTATTCACACATTGTATAGAATTAAAAAAATTAATTATTTTTATTTTAAAGAAATAAAAGAATCAAAAATAAAATAAAATTTTATAAAATAGTCAATGTGTAAAAAAACATGTTTATCCAATAATCTCAAAGATTATGTAATTATATTTTTATATAATATTATCTTATAAAGTTTTATATATTTTTAAAATAATATTTAATATTTTTAATATTAATATTTTTTAGGATCTAAAAACTTTTAGATTTACCTACATCTTATTTTTTTCTTTATGAAAATATTTCTAAATATCATCAATTATTATTGCTATAAAATATTACATCTATATATATATATATACATATATATATATAGAATTTATTAATAGATAATCTTTATCTTCTTAAGATATCACACATTATATCTTATTAATATTTTTTTTATAAATGGTTATGAGTTTTTGTGGTATTTAATAAATATAATTTTTTTCAATTTATATTATAATTTTTAAATATAAAGTTATCATTGAAATATGTAGTTGTGGTAAAATTCAAAAGTAATGTAAAAAATATTAAGATATGCTCAAAAAATAAATTTATTAGATTGCCAAATCATAAATCTTATAGCTACACAATTAACCTTTAACAAAGAGCTCAACCATTATTTGGAACAATTTACAACTTGTTTCAAAAAATATTGAGTACAATTAATAAATTTATTGAAAAAAACCTTACAAATGATCTTATTTCAATCTTATTTCAAATGTCGTAGCTCTTATCAATATGAAATGTACATTCATCCTACCTCAATACTTTATTAAACTTTTTCAATATAAGTAAAGGTCTATTTGATACAATATTTGTTATTCTTGAGGATCTACAAATGATATCACTTTACATTCAACCCTAATTAATCAAAAAAGTGTACTATGTGTATTTTTGCTCTTGAATTGCTTATATTGTCAAGATTTTCTTTTCTTGTTTTAAAGAGATTTGGCTTAAGTAGGATGGATTTAATACAAGAAGAAGATAATGGAAAAAAGTTGAAAGACAAAATAGACTCAAGATGTTGAATAGTATTTGTTAAGCAAAGATCACTTGAATTATTAGAATATCAGAGTAGGTGTTATGTATAGAATCAATGTTTTAGAATTATTCTTTTTGGCTAATTTATTTTTTTAGAATAATTATTTGCTAATAATTTGCTATTACTTTAATAAATTAATGCTTAAATCTTCTATACATCTTAAGAAACAAAGAATACAATTGAATAAATATAAAACATCAAAATTTTATTTTTATAATATATTCTTTTATTTATTAATTATAATAATATATATATTTTAAATTATAATCTTTAGTATTTACATTTGAAAATATAATATAATTGATCTAATAATCTTTAGTATTTATATTTTTTTAATTATAATCTTTAGTATTTACATTAAAATATTTAATGTGGCTAGAAAATCTTTCTTCAAGGTCAAGATGTTTAGTAAAACGATTTGATATTATACATTAGGCCACCTCTACATTTTTAATCTTGTTGTTTGAATTATTATTATATGCATTTTCATTATTGAGCTCATGCTTCATGGCCAACTTTATAAGTTGTATTTGTGCCATACTACTGACATCAATTGATAGCTGCACATAATAAGTATTTCAAATTCATGGTCTAACATGTTATTGAGGACTTGTAATTGATTCTCACAGTTGGTTGTATGTACAAGTAAAATGAAAGGTAAATTCACACCTTTATTTGTCTACTTAAGATGTGGAATTGTCAGAGGAGCTGCTAGCGTCCTAAATATTGCACATTCTTTTGTCATCACTGAATCAATTTGGATCAAGATAGATATATTTTGATCTAGCTTCTTTGATGGAGGTAGATCTTCCTTGCTTATTATTTCCATTTGTCATATTGCTCCTTTGAAATACAACTATATTCTACTAAATGTAGATGTTGATGTTAGTTGAGCTTCTTAAAATATGGTGTTGGAAGTTGGCAATTCCTTGACTTAAGTTTGTATAATATTTTTTAGGGCTTTAAGAGTACCTGGTTTTTATCATGTTATATAAATTTCATCTTGTAGTTCTTGAAAGTTTTCCTTTGTGATAGTATGATTATACCTAAGTGCTACAAGTTTATCTTGTTTTTGACAAATCATAGAATCTTTTTTCTTAAGTTGAAATCACAAGCTTTCTATCTCATGTAGTGTATCTCCTATGTCTTAGATGCTTGTAGATGTCAACAAGGTATTGTGCAACTAGGCTATATCCTAGTTCAATTGCTTGATTTGTAATTATAATACCATATTGAGCTCATAATATTTATGAATTGTATCTTAAATATAATCTTTATGATGCTAAGACCTCATAGTTTCTTTGTTATTTAATGCCATCAATTTATTTAATATATGGCTTAAGATTTCATATTGCAATTGACTTTCTTGGATTATTACTTCTTAGGCCATTTCTCTTAGATTGGAGTATAATGCATCTACTGCAATGGTATAGACATCAATATTGGCACAATATTTTTTGTACTTAAGTTCCTTGTTGTACTGCTCTTACAAGCATTTGTTCTTAGCATCTTCCTTTGCCTTCCCTTGGGTGTCCTTGATTAATCTTTGGGGTGGTATACATCCAAACTTTGTGACATAATGCCAATACTTGGTTACATAAATTGAAAAGAAGTGACTAATGGTAGTGTAAAAATGTTAGTTTTTTTGAAGGTACCTCAATTTTGTGTAAAGGTGTTGTTGATGATTATGCCTTAGTTGATTGTTTTTCCATCTTTTGCCAAAAAATACAAGTCCACAATGACATTCAAAATGATATTGACTTGCTTGAAAAAAAATATCAAGGACATCAAGCCACAAATGTAGATATATTCTTTGATATTGTATTTGATTTTTAAGATATGTATATTATATCTATCAACTATACAGATTTTATCACTGATAATGTTGTCATAGTTGGAGTATGGCTACTTATACTTGGATTCATAGTTGGTGACCTCTAAGAAGTCAAATCCAAATATCACCTAGAAATAATTTACTTTCCACAAGATCTCCTCATCCTTGACTATGTCTATGTATTGGTCATTCAAGGATTTGTGCCATGCAATGCTTTAAATAAAATTCCAGCACCACTCTTTATTTATGTTAGTCAAGAGTTGGCAGTAGTAACTTCTTAATCCTATAATATCAACCCACTCATTGTTTTGCATGTCAATCCATGCTTGGATCTCAGGTGGAGTAGAAAATTATATATAGGAACGGAATGCCATTGCAAAAGAAGAAGAAAATACTAGATATAGAAACAAAATACAAGAAGGCAGAGAGACAAAAAGGTGTAGGTGTAAGATGCCAAGAAGAGTGTGTCCTAAGATAGTAAATTGTTGTTATAAGGTATTTGTATAAATAACCATACTAATGTAAAGGTTCTCAAATGTTGTCATGCTGGCCACTATTTTTATTGTTAATAAATGGATTGCTTATAATTATATTATATTTAAATGATGACATGGTGATGTGGGCGACCACAATCTTGAAGAAATATATTAGGTGCAACTTAAAATTATCATTATGTGATGATTTTGAGTTATTATTGTTTATGAAGATCTGATTAATATCTTCTAAGAGAATAGCTTGTGGACACCTAGAAGTCAATCTCACAAGTTTGTATTGACAAAACTTATTCATGTTTAGAATGGTGGCATGTAGATTATATATGTCTTGATTGATCAATAAAACTGCATTATTGGACCACACAAGCTAAATTTTATATAGCTTATGAGTCATTAAATTAACTTATTGGTTGTTTTAAAAATAAAAGATTACATTTTGAATACCAAATTAAAATTATTAGGTAAAGGTTAATTTATAAAAATCTAAATATAAAAAAAAATATTAGTAAAAAAAATATAATTAGTATAGAAAATCTAGTAGAAATTTTTATAGTAAAAGACATCTTGAGATGATTAATTTAACATTCTTTTTCGTATTTACGAAACATCTAGAAAGAATCTTAAATAGTCAAAATTCTAATATTATTAGGAATAGAATATCATGAGGTTGCAAATACAAATATTATACTAGATATAATATCTAATATTAAATACAATATAT